TGTATAGAATGACTAATATGGAAATGTTTTATGTGATTGCATATGTAGAACCTGTATCTGATTGCTTGAGGAAGAGTCAGGGGAGGGAGGGAGGAAGAGAGAATTTGGAACTCTAAAAAAATGTAAAAATTGTTTTAACATGTAATTTGAAGGAAAAAAATTATTTAAAAAAAAAAAGAATTCTCCCCTTAGCCATGTATGGGAAAGGCGTAATAATGATGAAGACAATAATAGCTACCACATATGTAGTGTTTGAGTGTTTGCAACATGCTTTACAAACTCTATCTCATTTGGTGTTCACAACAACCCTGGGGAATAGCTGCTACTATTATGATCCCCATTTTACAGATGAGGAAAGTGAGTTAGGCAGAAATTAAGTGTCTTGAGTGGAGTCACAAAGCTGCTAAGTGTCTGAGGCTAAATTCATGCTCAGGTTTCCTACATGGAGCACACTCCGCTATATCACACAGGTACTTCTTTCTAGGTACTTCCTTCTGCTCTCTACTTTTTATATTAATGCTGTGATCTTTTATATTGGGATATACTCTGAAATATGCTGATCTAATTTTTATTTTGGCCCAACAGATTTTGAATTTTCCAACAGTTCTTGTCAAATACGAGGTCCTTCCTTCAAAAATGTTTGTTTTTTAGACAACATGCATTTTTTTTTTAAAAAGATATTACATGTGGATCAGAACAGGTCATTAACAATGACCAACAATGTAATGACAATAGTGTTGTGAGAAAATGTATCTTCCTGAAACCTTGACCATGAATCCTAAAACTGAACCAAGGGCAGAAAAAACAAACGCCTTTCTGAAAACTGAACACACCTGGCTGATAATGAGAAGTGCAGGGAGGAGTGGCTTCCAGTCTTGCATAGGGTAATTTTTCTGTATCATCCCTAGGTACTTTAAGATCTGTGGGGGCTAAAGAAAAACACAATTGCAAAAGAGAATACTATTCTGTACTCAAAGCATTTGGGGACTTTTTAGTCTAAAATTCTAGAAAAAATAGTTTATATGCAGCACACTGTGATACTTTTAACTTAGAGAAATGTGCCATGGGATAGAATCTAACATAAACTACTCATTTTAGATATCTTTTTAAATGCTGGTTCCAAAAAAGCAAAGTGAGGCAGAGAACTGTGCAATTCCATGAATTGTATCAGAACCACAAAGCAATGTCTTGGCTAGACTGGAATAAGTTATGATTTATTACAACCATCTAAGAGTTTACCTCCTACCGCATACAGATTAATCTCTTCCAAATGGTGACAATTGTTTTGTTATGCTCTACACTCAGAGCTGTAACTAAGGTACTTGTACTTTGACTTATGGTGTCAAAATTTAGAATACCTACACAGCTTAGGCTCCTTCAGCAACAGAAATAATTCAGCTATGGCTTAATTAACAAGAATAATTCATTAAAATAGGACGCTTGTAGAAGGGAAACTTCTTCCTTCCCAAGGTTTCCCCCTATTCTACCTAACTGAATTATTCCGGGTACCAAAACTGTTAATTAAATCTCTGAAACATTTATCATATTGATGCAAGTGCTTTAAAAGTTCGAAGTTATGTGTTTTCATCAATACCATGAATGTTCATCCAATGATACAGACTGTGATCCCTCCATATTTTAGTAGTAGACACCAAGCATGACCTGCTGCTGTTATTAGGGGGGGAAAAATCATCATTTGGTGGCCAACCGTCTAGATGGGAGAGTTTGCAAACTGGGTTTGTCCAATCTAATCCGACACAACAAGCATTTTTAAAAGCCTGATATTATGCGTAAGATAGTGGAAATAGTATGAAAAAAATGACTAGAAGCCAAACTATAGTAAAAATCAAATGTAAAAACAAAATAGCAATTTTATTGTAATTCATAAAAACAGAGACATTTTGAATTGTGTGTATATCTGTGAATATAAGCATTTATATATGCACATGCTGTATATATATATATATATATTATATATAATTTTACATTTTCATGTTTTGTTCTTACATTATAAATATTTCCAGATTACATACAATTCCTGAGAACTGTTGTAAAAAAGCAAAACAATTAAGCAAAACTAACAGTAGCATGACTTGAATCTGGAAACGCATGCTTGACTTGAGCATACACTGACTCACCTTGTATTTCCTTTTTTTTTTTAATTTAATTTTTATTTATTTATTTTTAGGCAATTGAGCTTCAGCGACTTGCCTAGGTTCACACAGCTAGTGAGTGTCTGAATCCAGATTTGAACTCAGGTACTCCTGACTCCAGGGCTGTTGCTCTAACTACTGTGCCATCTAGCTGCCCCTCACCTTGCATTTCTAGGAGTTATAACCAATTCTGAAATTTAAAAAAAAATCTATTTAATGCTCTGAAAAAAAACCAAACACTTCTTAAAAGTCCACATAGCAAATCACTCATTTTTTTTTAACTTTCCATTATAAAAAGAAGCCCCAACATGACCAATTAAAATCCATACACATTAATCCAATGTTTGCTTTTATGAATGAATGATCCATGAGTGTGATGCTAGGGTGACTCAGGCTAGGTCAAGATCATTGCACTTTTTCAAATGGGCAGCCAAATAAGAATGTCATCTTTGAATACCACCAGCAGTATTTCCATAGTGACTAGCATCTTTCTGGAGTTCAAAAGTCTAAATCAGTCATGAGGTGTCCTGCCTCAAACAGTCCAGCAAATGTGCTTCCCCTTCAGTGTGGGGAACTCCCAGGGATCTCAGGAAACATTCTGGTCTCATAGGTCACTATTGATCTTTAGAATTAGTATAGTACTAATTGTGTTTTTGTGTGTATGTTTGTGTGTGTATTCTTATATCTACTCTGAATATAGTAGAATATATTATATGTTAGAATTATATTCTATATTTTAGACTATGTATTATTATTAGTCCATATATATTAGAATTATATTAGTCCTCAAATGAATTCTTATACCTCTGCTATCTTTGGCAGCACTGGTCACCTTCATCTATTTATTTGCTTTCTCTACACCTGCAATTTCACTGCTGTTAAGAATTCCTGGTAAGGAAACATCTTTCACTAAAGCAGAGTGGCAATTCCTCTTTTACTACAATTTATAGGAATATAGAAGTACCTGGGGAAGTGAGAGTTAATTGATTTCCCCTGGTCATAAAACCATTATGTGTCAGAAACTGGCTTTGAACCCACACTTTCCTAACTTCTTGGCTGGCCTTCTAACCACTATGTCAAGCTAACTCTCATTGGTCAACTTAACCAGTCCAATCCAATGTAAACTAATCCAATCCAACCTCTTATTAAATGATTAATACTACAGGAACATGGGGCAAAGATCCCAAGTATGCATATATGTGTGAATATGAATGTATATGTACACATGTGTTCATATATGTGCGTGTATTTATGTCTATATACCAGGCTGTATCTTAGCAACATACCTAGGGATTCCCTTCACTGAGATGGAATACCTTCACAGCCAAATTCCTTTATGCATAACATGCACAGATATAAATAGTATCATAGTGACATCACTTCTCTGTGCCTCAATTTCCCCATCTGTAAAGTGTAGGAATTAAAATCGTAGTTATTCAAGTCTCTTTTTTTTTAAACTTTAAAGGTCCTTGAATATCTTGGTCTATCATAGCAGCAATGGTTTACATCTATATTTGGTGATTCAAACAGTATAGCTGACAAGTGAATCCATTCAACTAAAGAATGTTTTAAATCTTTTACTAATTATTATTAATTTCATTTTATAAGGGTAGGACAAATCTAATACACTTCTTAGCAGTTATGTGTCCACAAGGCACAGAGAATAAGATATATAGAGAATTAACATATAATCAGGGACATAAGACCTACATTGCTTTACCTGTTGAAATTCAGGTAGACTCAAAATATAAGCTTTTCTAAACTAACCAGTGAATAAAGTCCTCAGAAAGAGTACGTCAAAATTAAACATGGTATCAGTAAAAGAAATTGAGATCTATTGAAATCTTTGCATTCAGTCTTTCATAGCACAATGGAAGTAGAATACACACATGTGTCTTTTGAAACAGAGCAGTGATTTTGCCATATGGATAGTTCTTGGTAAGAAATTGTCTTTATTAAAGCAGAACAGCACGTCTCTGCAACTTATCATCTTAGAGGAACAGAGAGGTTAAGTGAATTGATCAGTGTCCCACAGCCAATTTACGAAATCACATATGTGTGCACACATCTATCACATTTGTTAGGTGCTCCATGTCCCATCAGAGAGGTTAAAATCAGCACAAAAGAGACTGTTTTCCTTTCCTTTCCCAGATCCTTCTCAGGAACCCTCTCCCTCACAACTAGTACCTATCCAAAGTATCCAGGGTAGTCATCACCCTCAACATCACACTGACTTACCAGTCTTCCTTTCAGATAGGCTTCTTCTCTATAAACTGCTCTAATGGGCAGAACTGCACTCAGTCCAAGTCAGGAAAGGCAAAGAAGGAGGGACTGGGTAGGGCAGTGGGAAGGAAGGAAAGATGTATCTAGCCAGTAAATGTAGCTAGGTGGCGCAGTGGATACAGCACCGGCCCTGGAGTCAGGAAGACCTGAGTTCAAATCAGACCTTGGACCAAACATATTTTCACTTACTAGCTGTGTTGACCCTGGGCAAGTCACTTAACCCCAACTGCCTTTAAAAAAAAATTGTAAATGTAAAAATGAAGAACAAAAGGACAGAACAAACATAAAATCTTTCCTTGGCATTGTAGATGGCTTCATTATTTAGCTAAAGAAAAATTCCTTCTCCAGTATCTTTGCTACGTAGAAATGACAAATAGACAGTGCCAATGGTGAAAATAAATGGAACACATTCCGGAAAAAAAATCACATTAAATTTTTGAGTTCATGATGTTTCTTCAATTAGTAGCATAAATATCTACCATGAGCCAGTTTAAAAAAAAAAAGGAAAAAGAGAAAGAAAAAGGTTACTATAACTCAAATACACACAGAGAAACACATATACTCTAAAGAGATGGCATATGTTGAGTTTATTTGATGTAAGAAAATCTTAACAGTTTAATTAATACAACAGAAAATTAACTGGAATTGAGCACAGGGCTACAAGTAAATATTTGTGAAAGGAATGGCAGTTTCAGTAGGAACAAGGAAATGAACATCTAAAAGTGTGCCCTCAGTTAAGAAAAATTAGCAGATCAGACCCCGCCTTTCCTTCCTGACATTCCCCCCACCCAGTTAGTAGGTCTACAATTATTTATTAAGCACCATACTATGTGCTAGACTGGAGATCCAAAAAGACTCTCCTTTGCCCTCAAGGAGATCCCAAAAACTAGTTATATAAGAAAAAAACAGTCATCTTTCTGTAATAAAAGACACAAAAATAAAGTGATTTCTTATTTTTTGGAAAAGAGCATTATATTCACAATGGCTAAGTTTCTTTAGGCACAGCTATATTAGGCACCAGATGATTAAAGAATTTTTTTTTTCTGTATTGCTGTAAATTCTGTAAATGATACCATGTTTTATCTTATTGAGGTGTATTTCCAAACCATATAAGAACTTGCAAAATGAATCACGTATATGAATGTTAGCTAGATATAAGTTAAACTGAGAAAAAAATTTAAAAAACCCTTTTCTGTAAAAAAGACAGTGTAGCCCAGAACCATTTTATATAGTAGTCATCTATATCTAAACGTCAAACATGACTCATACACTGTCCTCAAAACAAGCATTCTACATTCAAAACAGATTTGACATATCAGACTTTCGTAAGTCACTGATATGATCAATGGCTCATAAGTCTACATCTGGAAGGGATCTTGATGGTAATTTAATCCAACTCCCTTATTTTACAGATAAGGAACAGATAAGGAAACTAATGAAGGACATATTTTGTAATTTGAGAGAAATAGCACGAAGCTGAGTGTTGTTATTGTATAGATCCCACCATATCAGTATGCTTTTTTAAGTTGAATTTTTAAAATCCCATTATACTTCCAATTCAAATGTCCCAATACAATTTCTTTAAATGAAACTGAGGGTAAATCCATCCAATTATTGCCATACTCCTGTTCTTGAAGAATCAGAGCTTCCACCGTGTTCAAAAAACATGAAGTCCTAGAATGAAAATCCAAAATATAAGCAATTAGATTTAGTATTTAATTTAGATAAGTTCAGTTTTTAAGTACATGGCATAAAACAATTTGTTTAACTAAACTAAATATAGTCAGAAAGTTTAGTATTCATGTTTATAAGAACCATGGAGTACAAACATTTATAATTAACAACAAGAAGAAAAAATGCTGGTAAAATTGTAAGATCAGGGGTATTACTAAAAACCTAATTGAGTTTTATTTTTCTTAACTTTACTACTATCATCCTTTGCACAAAGGGTCATTATCTTTAAAAAAGAAGAGTGCACACATATCTCTATCTATGACTTTTTAGTAATATTTTATGTTATATACATATGTCATTAATTTCCAAAATATTTTCACATATATTATCTGCTGGGCAAAAACACAGACTTGTTATTTTATATAAAACTATCCTATCCCATTCTAAATATTATGATGAAGGGCTACTTTGAATAAGAGATACAGGTATAAAACAAGTTGTATTGGATTACTGTGTATGGGGATTGGCAGAATTTCTTTGCCTGAGCTGGAAATAGTTCTAGTACTAAGAGAATTAATTTGTGTTCTAGTTTAGACTTAATTTAGAAATTGCACAGTCCTTTCAATAATTGCAGAAGCACACACACATGCATGTATATGTGTGTGTGTGTGTATACATTATATATGTATGTATAGGTGTGTATATGTGTGTGTGTCTCCACATCTAATACAGATTTGGTTATATTTATCAAACAAAACAAAATTCCAGACATAAGATTTCAATTTTTTTTTTTTTTATGCACATCCCTCTCTCTACTCTGGTTGCATTTCTGGCCTTCTGAATTTTAGTACTTAAATTTGTTTCTTTATCACATGACCCAGCCTCCCAGAAAGGAGAAATGGAGGATTTCTTGCACTATACCCTTCTCTTAGAGAGGTGATTGAATATATGATCCAGGGCTGAAGGGGCCACAAGGAACTGAGCCATATACAATACAGAACAGCAAAAGCCTAGACTTTTCTATTGCTAACCTGAGTGACTTGGTGATAGAAGGCTGATGCATGCAGGAATTGCCTCTCTAGCAAACTAAAGTTTGTTTTCTTCCTAGGAAACAAATTTAGGATAGTACCATGGGGCAACAGAAGAAAGATAACAACTGCTGATGGCTACTGTGAGTCCACTCTGTTGTTTGGAATTTTCTATGGAGTAAAATAAAAGATTTTCTGTACTTGAACATACAGTTATGTTGAATGTTTATATGGGAAATGAGGGACCTTTTTATCTACATCAATGGGAATTTAGAAATGCATAATATTTGGTGTTCACAGAAGGTCCTCTGAGTGGGGGCCAAACCAGACCAAACAGAGATCATCTGAGGGTTCACCATCGATTTGAGATCAAATATTGTCTTTGTATGCCTGGAACCTCGGGTGCTGGGCCACCGGTAGCATATCATGCCTATGTTAAGTTCATTCTTTTAGATCTGTTTTATTCACCCATGAGTGACTTTAATTAGTTCAAGTTTCCATTGACGTTCCCCTTTGCGAAATTTTCTCCTCTTGAATCCCTTTCTTCCACTTCTAAGCTCAGATTCTGTTTTGCTCCCTTACCTTTTACTAGTGCCATGACATTTCTACTACCAAGTCTGATATATCAAATCTATTTTGAATGTAGAATGCTTGTTTTGAGGACAGTATGAAATTAATGTTTGACATTAAGATAAAAGTGACTACGATATAAAATGGTTCTGGGCTATGTCTTTTTTGTTTGGAAAAGTTATTTTTTTAAAAATTTTTCTCAGTTTTACTTATAGCTAGCTAAAATTCATATATGTACACTTCTATCTCTTCTTTAATCTTTCCCTCAAATCATTTTCTAATTCTTCTCTTCCATCTTCCCTTCCTTTCCTGTAGACCTCAGATAAATTTGAGTATAGAGCTATAAAGCTTGCTCTGAATATCACGTTTATACAAGGAGGTAGAGAACTGAGAAGCTTACTCACGTCTTTCAACACAAAGCAAGCCACAGCACACTCACTGGAAACTGTGTCTGGACCATTGAGAAACATCAACTACAAATGGGTTAAAATTTTAACTGCTGAAGAATCTGGGTAAGATTCCAAGTACGTTTCTGCTTTTGACATCTGTAGCTTTGATTTGGAGATGGAAACAAACAGCATGTGGTCTTCCGGCTTCAGAAGAATGACCTCATCTTTGATGGGCTACTTTGTGATTCTCAGTGGTTCTTCTTTGATTACAGGGGCCATGCCCTGGCTCACTTCTTCAATAGAGTGGGTGTTGCATCACTCAGAGTGAGAAGTCTGAAAATCCTTAGCTTAAAAAGGCCAAGGTCTGGATGGAGATGGCTCTGGAGGAGAAAGTGAGGCTGGTGACTTTGCCCAGCCCTCTCTCCCTCAAATGCAATTCAATGTAAATCATGCCATCATCTCCCTGATGTCATGGTCCTCTTCAAAAAAGAAGGACAAACTACACAACCACATAGGTAGTGCCAAATACTTAAAAATGAAAAACAAATCCAATTTAGAAAGCATCCTTCAATGAACCATCATGTTTCAGCCACTGTCCCTTCGAGGTATGAGGCAGAGCAGTGCATTGGGAATAGTGTTGAATTTGGAGTCAGAGACCCTACGTTGAAATTCTAGGCCTGCCATCTGTGTCATTCTGGGCAAATTACTTAAAATTCTCTCAGCCTCAGTTTTCTCATGTGTAAAATGGGGAGAAAGTTTAACTAGATGGCCTTTAGAATTGCCTCTAGTTCTAAATCTATGATCTGTAGGAAGTAACCCTTCAGGATGCCTGAGCCGAAGGGCCATGGCTTCAACCCGATTCAGTTCTTCCAAGTGCAACAACTACATTCTTGCTCAAAGTTGGGGATAGGGTTCTAATAAGGTCTTAACCAGCTACGAGTAAAACCTGACAACTGTTATTTTCCTTGAGGGCCCTACAAGATAGGAGACTTTCCATCCTGGACAAGATGACTTAGTGGAGAGATGACCTTAGAGTTGACACATACTAGTAATGTGAACCTACCCAACTCAAACTTTTAGTACTTCAGGGAACTCTTTACCACTGCAAAATGTAGAGGAAATACCATTTTGATCTTCACTGGTAGGAGAAATTTCCTCATTGGTGGTTCCTAAAACATGTAAAACCATAGCTCCAGTCTACTACTACCCCCGCGCCACCGCCTCAAAAAGAAAAGGCATCTTGGAGTACTTTTAAAGGATCGTTTGGGGGCAATGGCTATGGCAAACCATTTAGAGGGGGATGTGAAAAAAATCACATCCATGTGAAGAAATAACCATGCACAAGTTTGTAAACAATGACATGAAGCCCCGTTTCCAAGAATTCAGTTACATTTTATGTTGGAGGCAGAGGTTGAAGATACAGGGTAATGATCCTGAATTATACCCAAGGATCCCCACTTCATCTGACTTGAACCAGTGTTGTTTCATGGGTATTTTCCAAGGCCTGGATCCCAAATGCCTAGAGTTGTAAGGAATAAAAATATAAACTAGCAAGGGTCTTTCTAGACTAGTTCAGACTAGGCCTTCTTGGGTCACTCTGAACCACTGAACCATAATGGATTCCTCTGTGCTATACTAGGTCTTGAAATCTAAAGGCTACCCACAATGACATCAAATTTGTGGGTGGGATGAAGAACTACTTTTTGTACAAAACATTCATTTTTAAAAAGAGGATTTTTAAAAAGGACAATTTGATATTATTATTTCTTTTTTATTAATTCAATTTTATTTTTTCAGTCCCCAATTCTATCCCTCACTCTTCCCCCTCCCCCATCCATTGAGAAGACAAGAAATCTAATACCCATTACATATATGAAGTCATGCAAAACATATTTCCACATTTGTCATGGATAAGATTATTTCCAATTAATGAAACTAGGATAAAGCAAACAAAATTATTAATCATGTACTTACAATGAGGAAGCAAGCACCCAACATCACAGCCTTCATTTTCACATCAAGGTCTAATGGGAACTGAATTGCAAAGTTATCGGCATCTGTGAATGTTTCTTTTATAATTCCTGTCCACTGTTTTGTAATTTTTCCAACTGTAGTCTGTTCATTAAGAGATTTTATCTAATGAGAGGAAATAAATTATAATTTCAAACATTTCTTCAACATAGAATAAGAAAAGATCTTATTTTTAGTATACTAAAGGGTGTCATATAGAGACTATTATTTGTAAAACAGGTATTGTACCTGCCAGTAGAGAGAGAAAGCAATTCATGCATAAATTGGAAAATATTTATCTGAGAAAGAATACTTCTGCATGAAGTCAGATTTTCCTGAATTAATCCCTGTCATGCATACCCAGATGCATCTATAATCTCACTGAATTTAAGAGTTCCCTCCACTACTACAAATCCATGTCTGCCTATCCTTTGTGAGTCCCAGAACCAAAAATCTTAGAGGCCTTCCACACTTTCTCCAAACAAAACAAGACTATTAGTGGGACCCCCATGTATCCCCTTCTCCTTCTATCACATATTTTTGTGACAGCATCTTTTATTCTCGTTGTTCTTTGCGGTTCCTTGATAATTATATTATATACTTTAGTATATGGAGCTAATGTGGTAGCTATTTCTATAGGGAAGCAATTCTCTAAGACTACTAAATTACAAATCAGGTCAGATATGTCTTGGTAGAGGGAGTTTCTCCAAGGTTTTCTTAAACTAAACAGTAAAAACATAAATTTATTTAAAAAAAAAACCCAACACCAAATCAAACCCTCTCTTCCTGTGACTGTAGGTGTCAGCATGGTCTCTGGAATTGTTATCTAACTCACACTCATAGGCAAAGGAGTTAGCTGTAGGTATTCTGCAACTGGTATGTCCCCTGTGGCTTTAGCACTGGGAAGCCTACTGGAATCACAATAGTATATGCAGCATCCCCTATAGAATTTTGAATTGTTTTTAAATGAGCTATATAGTACAGATATATTAGAATGGTACTACCATTGCTTTAAAATATATGGGTGGGGATTTTATCAAATTCTGAGGTAAGGAGAAGACATTTTTGCTTTGTCTTAGATTCAAAATTATAAATCATCATAAAAAGTATAGGGAGGAAACATAGGTGGAAGAAAAGAAATCATGTGAAAGGATTCAGTGAGATAAGAGTCTGAGGGGAGAGGAGGGAAAACCCATTTAAAGCTACCCATTTTGAGCAATGTTTAGCTTCCCCTTACATGAAGAACATAGAAAATATTAATTGCCCTAGGGAGAGGCAAAATAACAACTCAAAATGAGAAGAGATTACCGTATAGATTAAAAGAGGTAGCAAAACCATCTAGGGAGATGGCAGAGACTAGAAAAATCCACTGTCAGCCCCAGTTGACCAAACTAAAGCCAGTATGGTTAGGCCTGCCTCAGTATAATTCTACTGAAAGCTTTGCTTTAGCAATGACAAATGCGCCATTTTCTACTGCTAAACCTCATAATGAATCACACAAGAGGCAGCTTAGTAAAGTGGGAAGACGAATGGATCTGGCATTTGAGGACCTGCTTTCAAAGCCCACCTTGGCCACCTACTTCCTGTACAACCTCTGAAAGTCCTTATGGGCTTCAGTTTGATCATCTGTAAAATGAAGGCATTGTCCTAGGGGCCTCTAAAGACCCTGTCTGACTTTACTTCTGCGATTGCCTGATACTAATAAATCACATTTCCTCCAACACTGAGCAGCGCTCATTTATGAACATCATAAATCATTTGGTTGGTTTATTTATTTGTATTCAGTTATAGGGGTCAGTTACTTTCTCCCACCCCACCCCCTCTTCTCTGTAATTTAACCTCTCAGATTACAAGCCACAGCCTGTTTCTTGATTCTAGTACAAACCAAATAAAGAAGCTGTTAACACATATCACATATTTATTTCAAATCCCTTTTCTAGTTCAACTGAATCTATTTCTAAGAGACAAAAGTAAATCATTTTTAATCTTAGCATCAGTACAATTTGGGAGGATGTAGGGGTAAATAGAGAGCTGATTGGACTTGGAACCAAAGACTTCAGTTTCAATCCCTGCTCTGTTGATTATTAGCTGAGGAACTGGGCAAATTCTTACACTTCTCTAGATCTCGCTTTCCTCATCTCCAAGATCTTTCTAAGGATCTTAGATCTAAAGATCTTAAAGTCCTGCCCACCTCTAACATTTGATGCTTCTGTGATATATCACCAGATACAGCTTTATAAAATCATGCTTTTTTTGAGGGGAGTTGGGGGGGTGGAGGCAATGGAAGCTAAGTGACTTGCCCAGGGTCACACAGCTAGTAAGTATCTGAGGCAGGATTTGAACTCAGATCTTTCTGACTCCGGTAGCAGTGCTCTATTCACCGACCCATGTAGCTGCTACTAGAATCATATATTTAAATAATACTCCAGTAATGTTTTCCTCCCAAATGGAACAAAGACATCAAATGAGAAATACAACTTATTATTTTTAAAGTGTGCTAGCAGCTAAAGCAACCTTTTCAAAATGAGTGAAAATGTAAACTATCTTGAGTGCAGAAACTCAGAAGTATTCTTTTCAATGTAACTTACATCAAAGTCAACGTCTGCACAACATCTGCAAACAATACATGGGCCTTGGATTTTCAGCACCTCCTGGTGGTGCTCATTTAGAACTGTAAACTTTGGCAGAAAAGGGTGCCAATTTTGGGTAATGTAACCTATTGGCACACCAGGAGGAGATTGTATTTCCAACTGCAAAAGGAAAAGAGATTGAAAAGAAACAGTAAAATATCATAAACTACCTTAATTTTCAAAATAAGCTACTTAAAAGAGGGAGGAAAGTCTTCAGAAAATCTCCTAAAAACAGCTTGTGTGCTCACACCATGGTAGGGAATTTCTCAAATAGCTCTCTTAAATTATTTAGACTTTGATTCTGCACTGATATTCCTGTGATTCCATGTAACTATTGTTAATTAACTGATCAAGAAATGAACTGGAAAGGCTAGGCAACTCGGTTCAAGGATTGGTTATATAATTGTGGCATGCTATTATGAAAAAAAGGGAAAAAAAGTAACCTATTTTTAGAGCTTTGCTCATTGTCACACTAAGGGTTAGCAACCATGGCCTTTGCTAGGCTTACTACAACAAGGTACCTCTGGCAGAGAAAGTGAAGCCACGGAAAAAAGATGAGTAATAAAAAGCACACCCAGCTCTGTCACACAAAGAACAGCCAATACCTTTTCTTCATGGAGGCAGGCTAACGACTCTCATCCATACGCTCACTCAACTCTTAATCTATGTTCTCTTCTCCCCTCCCATTGCACTAGTAGGTTGGAGTCTCACCAATACCTTTTTCTACCTATCAAATTAACATCATATCCTTTTCCAACAATGTTTCTTATTTGATGGAAAAGGAAAGCTCAAGGTATAACTGACCTAGATATCAGTAAAGCTTTTGAGATTTTTTTCATGTCATCTTTGGGACCAGATATGGGTCAGATGACAGAATGGTTAAGTGGATTCAGAAACTAGTAGAATGACTGTTACTATTTCAATGTCAACTCTGAAAAGAAATTTTTGATTCCAAGTATCAGGGAATTTTTTGACTCTGTTCTAGTTAACATCTTTTTATCAGTGACTTAGGTTAAGGCATAGATGGGTGCTTACCAAATTTGCAGGTGACACAAAGCTTTGGTGGTGGGGAGGGAATGTCACTAACTCGGTGGATAACAGAATCAAAATCTTGACAGAATAGTACACTGGGTCAAATTTAATAAGATGGTACATAATGTGGATATATGCAAAATCCCACACTTAGAGTGTGTAAATCACCATTACCAGCACAAGATAGGGGTGGTAGAGCTAAATAGTAATTTAACTGCTAAAGATGTGGAAGTTTTAGTAGACATGCAAATTCAAAACAAGCCAACATTTTGATAAGGAACTGGTAGCCTAAAAAAACTAACAAGACTTTGGTTTGAGTTAAGGTAGGCATTGCATATAGAATGACGGATGACATTGTCTCATTGCACTGTGCCCTGGTGCTAGATTGGAGTGTTGTGTTAGATTCTATGTACCACATTCTGATGAAAACCTCAATAGTTTGGAAACATTTCAGAGAAGGGAGGGCATTAGACTAAGAGTGGCACCAAGAATTTGATACATTCAGCATGAATAAGAGAAAACTTTGTGGGGGACATGAACGCTGCCTTTGAGTATTGAAAAGTCTTTCAAGATGGAAGAGGACAGCATGTTCCCCCATTCAGGAGATCTTCAAGTAAAGGCCAGATGACCTGATTTATTGAAGATGTGATGGAGGGAACTCTTTTTTTAGGGATGAGTCGGACTATAGATTTCTATCGAAGCCCCTTCTAAGTCAAACTCTGTGAGTTTCACCCCAATCTCAAGATTAGGGAAATTACAAATGCCACAATCATGGCTGACCCTAGGCAAAAATGAGAAATAGGCAATGTCCTTATTAGTATCCTTCTTCTCTCTTGGGCATCCCTTTCTTCAAGTGTCTTCCCTATATTTCAAGTATCTATTTAGCAGCTGGCTGTCAACTGTCTGCTAGAATTAATGGATAAAAGAGCTTAGGTTCTAATGAGGGAGATTTCATACAAATAATTATGTACTTACAATTTCCACTTACTTCTTAGTTCTACCCTCTAGGGTCAAATACAAGTCTCATCCTTCTTTCATAAAATAGCCCTGCATTGCAAACTGTTATCATGTGCCATGCCCACCTTCCCCCACCCCCAGTGTAAATGCAGCCTTTAATCAATCCATGTATGTCAGGGTTTCTAATGGGAGAGACCACTGTCCGCTAATTCTGAGGCAGCATCATGACCAAGTGGCTTGTACAACAAAAAGATGTTCACCGACCTGTTGGAGACAGCAAGGGTAAAAACAGGAAACACATCTGAAAGGTCTATCAAAGGTTATCACTTCCCGGCCTGTATTGTCCAGAATCTTTATAATAAAGGGTCTTAAGTTTCCACAACAGTTTCGAGTACAGCAATCATTTTCCTCCACTGCAAAATAAACTCTCTGACCAAAGCTGTTGCTAATTGCATATCTGTTGTTGGTTTCAAAACCTGTGAGTGCTAAAAATGAAAAAAAAAAGAAGATATGGTAATTAGTACTAATAAGACCACTATTGGGAAGATGATTTTACCACAAATATGTTAAATGATTTCCAATCATTAATTCTGCCCTGCTGAACCACCTGGGGCAAACTGTCTATCCTCTTTGGGACTCAGTTTTCTGTAAAACAAGGCTACATCCTACAGGTTGATAAGTTGCACCATTTCATCTCTAAAGCCCCTTTCAGATCTAAGATTCAATATTTCTTTCTGTACAGTTTCATAAATCTCTATTTAAGACTAGAAGAAGTTTAATTGTTCTTATTTTGGACCAATTTCTAAAAAAATATTTTTTGGCATTTCCAATGCATGAAAGGGAACTTTTCCCCACTTCAGATTGAACCTGTAATTCCACTGGTATATAATAAGCTCTAATGAGTAAACTATCTCTTGTAATGTGGATCAGTACTGGTTTTGCAACTTAGAGTCTTACAACAGAGTTATCTGGAGGTACTGAGAGGTTAAAAGACTTGCTCAAGGTCATACAGCCTTTGTGTATGTCAGAAATGGAACTCTGAATCCAAGTTTTTCAGATTTTGAACTTGTACCTCTGCCTCTGTGCTGCTTCTTAAAAAGAAATATGGAGGGGCAGCTAGATGGTGCAGTGGATAGAGCACCGGCCCTGGAGTCAGGAAGACCTGAGTTCAAATCCAGCCTCAAACACATAACACTTAATTAGCTGTGTGACTCTGGGCAAGTTACTTAATCCCAATTGCCTCACAAAAAAAAAAAAGGGGGGGTCTTCATTCAGGATAAGAGAGTCTAGGACAACTATAAGAGTGTAGGGGGAAAAATTCATGGCATAGAAAAAAACCACAATAATAGTGCAGGGAAAAAAAAAGAATACTATAAATGCATAGAACAGAAAGAATATGAATCAGAAGACCTGGGTCTAAATCTTCTATTAATCATTCATTCATTTAACAAGCATTTATTAAATGCCTCATATGTGCTAGGCGTATGACCTTAGATAAGCACCTTAATCTCTGTGGGACTCAATTTCCTCATCTGGAATGAGAAGAGGTTGGATAATCTCAAAAGTTCCTTCCAAGTTTAAATCTATTATCTTATGATATTCGTCTTCAATCTAGATTTCATAGGTAATAACAAACACAATTGCAGAAAGGTAGATTGGAATTAGTTCATGGAAGGCCTTAAACGACAGATGACAGAGTTGTCATCTGGGAGGCTTTGTAGAGTCACTGAAGGTTTTTGAGCACTGGAGTGATGTGATCAGACTTATTATTTAAGGAAATTATCCTATCAGTTATGGAATAGATAATTGGAGAGAACAGAGAGTGAAAGCAGAGAAACCAACATGGAAGCTATTGTAATAGTGTCCTCATAGCGATAAGACATGATCTTACCGCTAATCATAGTAGTAAAGGGAGATGAGAGCCTGAATTAGGGTGGTGGTCAATTGAGTGGTAAATGGATAGATGCAATACATGTTATGGAAACCAATCCATAAGACTCAGCAACTGATCAAATTGTGAGGGTGGGTCTTTAATTCTGATAAAGAATTATTTGAAGGGTGTGAACCTGATAAGAATTATGATGGCAACCTCCAAACAGAATTCTGGAAAATGGGTTGGTAGAAACTAAGTTCCATTTTAGAGCTACTGAATTTGAAATACTAATGAAACATGGTAGAGAAGTCCAGCATGCAGCTGGCAATGAGAAACAGGAGTTCAGGAGAAAGATTTGTGCCGATTACATGGTTTTAGGAGTCATCTGCAGGGAGACAGTTGAAATCCTGGCAAATGAGGAGTTCATCCAGAAAATGTGAAAAGAGAGAAGTTTCCAGAAAGCCCACAGGGTCAGAGGAGACTAAAAAGGCCTAGGCATGGTCAAATAGGTCAAAAGAAGTAGGAAATAAAAGAGTGGTTGATCATTTCAAAAACCAAAGAATGCTCAGGTAGCAGGAAGACAGAAATGTGTTATCAGCTCTATCAAAGAGACCTTGGAGGAAGCAGTTACATTTGAAAGCTGAATGCTATTGTAAGAGATTAAGACGTAGGTGGGGAGGAAGTAGAGGCAATAAAATGACACTAGAAATGTGACAATAAAGAGGATCAGAGAGTGAGAGGACAATAATTCAAGCAGATGTCATGGCCAAATGAGACAGAGAACTTGGCATTTTTATAGGTAGCAACGGGATAAAGAAACTAGAGAAGAGGAGTTGAGGGCAGTGGCAGAGGGTCAGCCATCAAGCTAACTGCTAATGTAAGGTTCTTTTCGCTGCCCTAAGTAGAACATAGTTTACAAAAAACAAACAAACAAATAACTTTAAATCTAAACACTTTAAAGTAATTTAAATCAAATACTTTTTTTTTTATTTTTAGGCAATTGGGGTTAAGTGACTTGCCCAGGGTCACACAGCTAGTTAAGTGTCAAGTGTTTGGTCTGAGGCTGGATTTGAACCCAGGTCCTCTTGACTTCAGTAGGGCACTATCCACCGTACCACCTAGCTGCCCCTAAATCTCATACTTTAAATGGTACATGGTCATCAGTTGTACAGTACCTGGCATATAGTAGGTGATTAGTAAATGCTTGTTGACTTAATATAACTTGACATTTCTCTATTTTAACTGAATGGTTTACTATCCAATTCTCCACTTATTCATATTGTAAATTTCAACACTTCCATCGGTCAACTGACCAGTCAATAATCAGTTACTAAGTTTTGATTATATTCCAGGCACCACACCAGGCACTAGGGATGCAAAGACAAAGAGGAAACATTCCTGCTCTTGAGGAGCTGACAGCCTGCTGGTGGACACAACTGTATAAGAATAGGTATGTACAAAATAGACATAAGGTGATTTGTAGGGATTAAGGGAGAGTACTAACAGCTGGGTTATGAAGGAAGGCTGTATGCCAAAGGTGGTACTGTAGCTGAATCATGAAGGAAACTATAACATCCAAAAGGTAGGTTTTATTAAATGCTATTGACCAAGGCAGCCTTGGGGTATGCCCACAATTAATGATCCAATTATTGAGAAACACAGCCCAGAAGAACTGTATCTAGTGCTATCTTCCCTTCCCCAAGATTTATTTGCCCAAGTGAAACAAGAATACACTTTATAGATAGGACTTGATTAAAATGCAATAAAGTAATACAGTAGGTACATACCTTCCAGAAGTTCGACCTGCTGATGGATAAGTAATTGGTCTATCTGTATGATTGAAACAAATAATATAGTTAATAATTATTTATTAGGGGCAGGTAAAAGGCCTGTACTATCACTGTTCTGTAAGGAACCCCCAGATGAAGAAATTCTCTACCGATACAGACCAGTCTTTGCAACTTATTCTTAAGAGAGCTGCCTAGAGCAATTCGAAGTTAAATGACTTGCTTAGGGTTGCACAGCCAGTTTGTAGCAGAGCTGGGATTTGAACCTGTGTCTTCCTAGTTCTAGGGTCAATTCTCTATCCACTATACACACTGCCTATTGATTACATATTACCCCATCAAATAGAGCTTAAAATCCCTACCACACACAAATATCATAAGTTCACAAATCTGTCATGAAAAGATTACACTATTTTTAAAATTCATAGAGCAGCTAGGTGATGCAGTGGATAAAGCACCAGGCCTAGACTCAGGAAGACCTGAGTTCAAATGTGGCCTCAGACACTTAACAGCTGTGTGACCCTGGGCAAGTCACTTAACTCTGCCTCAATTTAATCACCTGTAAAGTAAGCTAGCTGGAAAAGGAAATGGTCAGATCACTCCAGTATGTTTGCCAAGAAAACCCCAAATGGGGTCTCAAAGAGTTGGGGATGACTGAAATGGCTGAACACCACAAAAGATTTATTTGATGACATCTGTGTCACTAGTACTAGTTTTCCCAGTTCCCCTCCATTTTAGTGCCTTTTCTCTGTTGATCGTGTTGTTTTGTTTTGTTTTTCCCCTGAAATTAACCCTATATTGGCCTCTTTGCAACTACCATCTATTAGACTCTTAATCCCCCTTTCATATGACAGCATCTGAAATTTTTAAACACAGCTATCATGTTCCTCCTCAGCTTCTCTCCATGCTAAACACCCCCAGTTCCTTCAAGGGATCCTGATAGGTCAGGATCTTGAGGCTCTTCACCATAATTATCCAGAAGTTCTCTAAAATATAGCACCCAGGATGTACCACAATATTCCTGATGCAGACTGACCACAGCAGAATACCGTGGGCCTTTCCCTTCTTACTTTTAGGATTCTCGATGCAGCCAAGGAACATACAGTCATGCGTGTATATGTGTGTGTGTGTGTGTGTGCGTGTGTGTGCGTGTGTGTGATGGGAGGGCTGTCATATTACACGGTTTACTGGCTGCCTTATACTCAGCCTACAATCCATCAAAACCTCTCCATTTTTTTTTTATGTGAACTGATTTCTAGCAAGTCTTGCTTTTATTTCTTTCAAGAACTCTTCTCTATCTTTGTCCAATTTAAATGATTAAAATACGTACCCACCAGCTCATAGTAAAAATATATACTATTTCACAAAACGTTAATTCACTTTAATTAAACAAACATTTATTAGGCACCTACTATGTGTGAGGCACTGGGGTAAGTACTTGGGATATGAAGATTAAAAATTAAAAAGTCTCTTGAAAACCCCAAAACTTTACATTTTACTGAAACCAACTTTAATCTAGCATTTTTTCATCTGAAATCTGAACTACATTCTGTTTTCACCTACACGTAAAAATATTATACCGGCCCTTCCCATTGCAGAAAGCATAATTTCATATACCATTAGTACATCTCTCGTATTTTTGATGTTAAACAAATTGAGTGTTGCCCCGCCCCCGACTCTCTGTCTGCTCTTTTCCCATCTGGTCTTTGCCAGTTCATCTTCCAATTCTTAGGTGGCGCACAAGGCTTTGCTCTAGGTACTCTTTTTTTTTTCCTCTTTGCATGTTCTTCTTTGACGACCTAATCCTCTCCCATGCCTTCCATGGAAATGACCACCAAATTGTATCCGCACTACCAACTTACCTCACTGTAGTCCTGCGTCTCCGACTGCATGCTTTATATGTCTCCTGGGACATCCTACCAGCTCCTGCAAATCAAGGTATCTCCAACTAAATACAATCAGTCTATGAAACTTTGCTCTTACCCTGGCTTATCTGGTTCTATTAACAATGCTTATAGCCACTCAGGCTCACAGAGTCATTGTTGGGAATGGGAGAAGGAGGCGAAAGATAGAAAAGAGACCACCAGTTTGTGAAGGCCTGTAATGGGGTGGGGAATCTGCGGCCTTGAGGCCACAGTTGGTTGTCTCGGTCCTTGAGTGTGGCCTTTTGACTGAGTGCAGAACAAATCATTTTATTAAGGGGATTCAGTCAGAAGGCCGCCCTTGAGAACCTAGAGGGCCCCATGTGGCCTTGAGGCCACAGCTTCCCCACCCTGGCCTATAATTTCTCTCCTTGTAATATCGTTTATATCCACTCTGTTGTCTCCACTCTTATCACAGCCAATATAGTTAATATTCTTGTCTATTCCCTACCCTTTTAAAATACAACCTTCTTACCGATATCTCTCCCTCCCTCCAGGTTAACGCCAGTTCCAAACATTGTTGACTCACTTGTCTGAGAAAACTTCCAAATGTATGATCATGATAAGAAAACAAACAAACCAGAAGGCAAAAACTCCCTGTTGCCTGGGGAATATATTTAAATTCCTGACTGGCATCAAAGGTGCTAAAGGATCTAGTTTCAAGCCTGCCTGTCCAACATTACATACTACTTCCATTCACGCATTCTCTTTTAACTAAACCGGTCTACTACAGCCTGCCTTAATTCTCATCCAGTTTTCTCTTCTCCGTGTCCTCATATCCACTCTCACCACTGTCCATCCTGCTACTGGAAACATCCTCTTCCTTCCTCTTCTAGCTCATGCTCTTGGAGCTGTATTCAAGTCATCAGTACAACTGCCTCTAGAAAGGGTATATTAATGGATTGCTTAGTGGTTCTACTTAATATCCAACATCATAACCCACTTTCCAGACCACCATTTTCTTATGTATGATGTCTCCCCCATGAGAACACAAGCTTCTTGATGGTAGGCACTATCTCACTTTTATATTTGTATTGGCACACAATAAGTGCTTAATAAATGCTTTTCATCTATCCATTTCTAAAGGCCTCCTTGATTTTTTCAAGTGAAAATTACTTTTCCCTCCACAAATTTCTCACAAGCCTTTCCATTGCCCTGAATACCTTCTACATCATGTCACACTTGGGATAGCAGAGTCACCATAGATTTAGAGTTGGAAAGATTCCTAGAAATCATCTAGTCCCAAACTCATTCTTTTTAATTGGAGCCCAGAAGGTAGGTGACTTGCCTAGGATTACATAGGTGATGGAATCTGAGCCCTGCTCTCACTTATATCACATTCCTCCAATTCCACTCTAACCCACATTACATTGTAAGCTCCTTGAGAGAAAATATTGTTTCTGTTTTTCAACTTTGTATCCCTAGCTCCTGTCATGGTGGCTTACACATCCAGGTGTCTGACAGATGCAATTTAACAAATATTTACCAGAATTAAAAGTAATAAAATGCTTGTTGATAATGATAGAAAATGTCAAATGAAACATATGAAGTCTTTTTAAATAAGCTGACTTTACCTGTTTGCCTCAGTTTTCTCATCTCTAAAATGAGCTGGAGCCAAGAAAATGCCAAATGGAGTCATGAAGAATAAGACATAACTGAAATGACTGCACAAAGCAAAGAAAACTGAAAGGCTAACATGCATTGGTTCACTTTATATGGTATTTTACCTTACATTATGGAATGCACCTCCCTCACTCTTACTATATAACTTATCTAAGAGCAAAGCATAACAAACAGAAATATCAACAGTTATGTTAATATCTAACCCTAATTATTAAAGGGCACTAGAGAGGCCTGCAGCTTTAGGCTGACTGCCAATTAATTAACTGTTTCACTGTTCTTCAGTTAGGTCCAAGTCTTTGTGATCCTGTGGAACATACCAACCAGGGAATTTTCCTCAGCAAAGATACTGGAGTGGTTTGCCATTTCATTTTCCAATGGATTAAAGCAAACAGAAATTAAGTCACTTGCACAGGGTCACACACCTAGTGTCTGAGGCCAGATATGAACTCAGATCTTCCCAATTCTAGGCCTACCATTCTATCAACTGAGCCACCTAGCTGTTCTTAAAATCATTCCACAGACATTTATTAAACACCAACTCTTTACTCGGATTACAAAGACAAATAATGAAATAAGCTTTACCTTCCATGGAACATTAAGACAGGCATTGATGAGAATTTCACAAAATCAGAAGTAATCAGTGGGCTGTGATACACATAGATGGTAGGAATGCTCACAGAAAGTTGAGATCACGGATTTATCCCAATACCCAAATTAGAAAGGGGAGGGGAACAAGTCAGTACCTGAGTTAAGTATTCCAGTCCAGGTGGACAGTTCAGTGGTGGTGGTGGTGCTGGAGCCCACTGTACCAATTGAGTCGTACCAGGCTGAGGCTGATGAAAAAAGGCAGGAGGCCGTTGATCAGCAGGAAAGCCAATAGGCCTAGGGGCTGGATGGCCAATATGTCGTGGAGGGCCTTGAGTATGAAATAATGACGAGGTTTATAATTTTGTTCACCAGTGTATTATAACATATTAACAAGTTTGAGACATAACCGATGACTTAGAAAATTACACACTGGAAATAATTCAATTTTGTAGGAGTTAACATGGTTTGTTTTTTTTCAAATATATTAACTGAAATTTTCAAATTTATGGATATCTTTTCCTTTTATATCACCTTGCTAGACAAATGCAACCCTTTCTCCTCCCCCAGTTAGCCACCACTTGTAATAAAAATGAATAAAGGGAATAAATGTGCCAGCAAAAGTAAATGTGACAGTCTCCAGCAAAGGGCTGGCCAACCACAAATCCCACCAAGGATTTGTAGCTTTTCCCACTTTGGGAAAAGAAGCATCTACCATGACATGAGCACTCAGACAAGAATGGTGTGAATAAAATGAAATAAGCAGAGCCAGGAAAACACTGTACACAGTAACAGCAACATTGTGTGTGATGACTAACTATGAATGACTTGGCTCTTCTCAGCACTGCAATGATCCAAGACAAGTACAAAGGACTTATGATGGAAAACGCTGTCCACATCCAGAGAAAGAACTGATGGACTCTGAATGCAGATCAAAGCATACTATTTTTTCACTTTATTTTTTATGCTTTTTTTCCCTTTCAGTTTGTTTCTTCTTTTACAATTATGACCAAAATAGAAACACAGTTTACATGCTTACACATATATAACCTATATCAAATTGCTTACAATTTTAGGAAGAGGGGAGGGGAGAAAGGGAGGAAGAAAAATTTGGAACTCAAAATTTTATAAAAATGAATGCTAAAATTCATCATTATGTATAATTGGAAAAATACTAATAAAAAAGAAGGATGTAGATTTTTTTTTCACACGTGGTAGACAACAGGACTTTGAGGGCTCAAGGAGAAGGAGGGGAGAAGAGAAAGGTGACAGTTGTCTCACAGCACCAAAGGGTGCAAACAGGGCAGCAATCCGGGAAGCAGCCATTGCATACTGCACCTATTGTTTCCCTACTATAGATTATGTGACACCATGAGGCTCTCTTATATGAAGTTTGTTTTTATAAAGAATACAAGATGCCCCTGAAGTCTTATTATAGTTTTAAGCAATTAAAACTTAAAACTACATTAAAACTTTTGGGGCACTTTGTATATTAAGTTTATCTCAGTAATGCTAATGCTATCCTGCTTGTATATTCCCTTCGAAAATCTTTCTATTCTCTTCTATGTACTTTTAACTTTATTTTTTAAATAACATTTTATTTTCCCCAATTACATGCAAAACCAATTTTTAACATTCATTTTTTAAAGATGTGAATTCCAAATTCTCCTCCCCTGTCACTGAGACAGTAAGCATCTGATATAGATTATCCATGAGCAATCATGTAAAACATTTCAATATTAGTCTCTTGTGCAAGAAGACTTGAATAAAAGAAAGGGAAGAAAGAGGAAGGAAGGAAGGAAGGAAGGAAGGAAGGAAGGAAGGAAGGAAGGAAGGAAGGAAGGAAGGAAGGAAGGAAGGAAGGAAGGGAGGGAGGGAGGGAGGGAGGGAGGAAGGGAGGGAGGAAGGGAGGGAGGAAGGAAGAAAGAAAAAAGAAAAGCAGTATGCTTCAGTCAGTATTCAGACAACGTCAGTTCTTTCTCTGGAGGCGGATAGCATTTTTCATCATAAGTCTTTTGGAATTGTCTCGGATCACTGTATTGCTGAAAGTATCCAAGTCATTCACAGTTCTTCACTGAACAATATTGCTGTTATTGTATAAAATGTTCTCCTGGCTCTGCTTGTTTCAGTTTGTATCAGTTCATGTAAGTCTTTCCAGGTTTTTCTGAAATCATCCTGTTTGTCATTTCTTGTAGTCCAAATAATATTACATTAAATCATATGCCAAAACTTGTTCGGTCATTCCCCAATTGATGGGTATCCCCTCAATTTTTAATCCTTAGCCACAACAAAAAGAGTTGTTATAAATATTTTTGAACAAATAGGTCCTTTTCCTTTTTTTAATTTTTTTTTTATCTCTTTGGGATACAGACCTAACAGTGATATTGCTGGATCAAAGGGTATGCATAGTTTTGTAGCATTTGGGGCACAGTTCCAAATTGCTCTCCAGAATTGTTAGGTCAGTTCATGTCTCCACCAACAGTATATTAGAGTCCTGGCTTTCCCACATCCCCGCCAGCAATTATCATTTTCCTTTTTTGTCACATTAAACAATCTGACAGGTTGTGAAGTGGTACCTCAGAGTTATTTTAATCTTCATTTCTCTAATCAATAGTGATTTAAAGCATTTTTATATGACTAGATAGCTTTGATTTCTTTGTCTGAAAACTGCCTGTTCATACTATTTGACCATTAATCAGTAGAGGAATGACTTGTATTCTTACAAATTTGACTCAGTTCTCTATATCTTTGAGAAATGAGGCCTTTACCAGAGATACCTGCTGTATTTTTTTTTCTGTTTTCTGCTTTCCTTCTAATTTTGATTGTATTGGCTTTATTTGTGCAAAACCAATCAAAATGATCCATTTTACATTTTATAATGATCTTTATGGTTTGTTTGGTCCTAAATTCTTCCCTCACCAATAGATCTGGCAGATAAACAATAAACAATTCCATGCTCTCTTAATTTTCTTTGGGTATCACCCTTTATGTGTAAATATGTACTCATTTTGACCTTTTCTTGGTATCTGGTATGAGATGTTGGACTGTTCCTAATTCCTGCCATATTCTTTTCCAGTTTCCCAACAGTTCTATGAATTAAAAAAAAATTATTCATACTTTTCTTTCTTTAAAAAAAAATTTGTATCACTATCACTCCTTCTACTCCTCCCCCCACTCCCCATACCTCTCCCCCTGTCTCAAATAAAACCTTTCCATTGTAACAAATAAGTGTACTCAAGCAAAATAATCTAAATATTGACTGTATCTGATAAAGTATGGCTCCCTTCTTGTCCATCACTTCTCTGCCAATGGGATGAGAAATATCATTTACCACAGCCTGCCACAAAGTCTTGATTGGCCATTGCATCGATCATGATTCCTAAGTCCTTTACAATTATTTCCCTTTCCAATACTGTAGCCATTGTAGAAATACTCTTGTTCTACTCATTTCAGTTTGAATCTGTTCATTTCAACATTTCTCTCAGGTTTCTATGGATATGTTACTTCCATAATTTCTAACAGCAAAATAATGTCACATTACATTAAATCTTAATTTGTTCAGTCATTTCATAATTTATAGGTTCTCCATTTCTCTGCTACAACAAAAAGTGATGTTTTAAGTATTTGTGTGCAAGTGGATTCTTTCTCTTTACATGTCTAATATTGATATAGCTAATGAAATTTAGTGTCTTTGAGGGTAGTTAAAAATTACTTTCCAGAATAGCTAGATAAATTCACAGTTTATCCAAAATGTATCAATGTACCTGTCTTCAAATAGTACATCTATTGTCAGTTTCCATTTTTTTTTTTTGGTCACCAGCCAATCTGATAGATATAAAGTAGAACCTTAGTTATTTTACCTTGCATTTATCTTATTATTAAATAGGGCAGCTTTGTGGCATGGTGGATCAAGTGTTGGGCCTGGAGTCAGAAAGACTCATCTTCCTGGGTTAAAATCTGGCCAAAGACACTTACTAGCTGTGTGACCCTGGGCAAGCCACCTAACTCTGCCTCAGCTTCATCTGTAAAATGAGCTGGAGGAGGAAATGGCAAACAATTCCAGTATCTTTGGCAAGAAAACCCTAAAAGGAGTCACAAAGAGTCTGACATGACTGAAAATGAAACAAAACAATATTATCAAATATCAGCAGCATTTTTCATATGGTTATTGATAACCTCTCTTTCTTCTTTTGAAAACTAACAGTTCATATCCTTTATTCATTTATCCACTAGGGGAACCATTCTCCCCACATACAAGCATTGTCCATGTCCAGCTACTTTGATTTCCACTCTTTTAATCAAGCAATTATTTAAAATCACAAAACATGAAATTAATGAAGACCGTTTTGGGAACACCAAAATCATCCCCAGATTAAGCATGTTTCTCAATGCAACATCCAAAGAAGTAACTAGGACAATAAGACACTGGATTTTCACTATTTCTCCTGGTAATTGATACTACTGTGCTATTCCTCATTATTGGAAAATCAATAAAGGGTCAGATTAAGTCACAAAGTTTATTCACTGAAGTTCACATACTTTTCTCATTGGCAAGCATCTCAGGCCACTCTTAAAGTTGATTTCCTCTTACTTTACAAACATTTGTTACAGGTCTATTTATCTCCATGATGACCTTGCTACGTATTAGGAAGTTCATTTTAAAATTTTTAAATCCTTATTATATAACACACCGCTTTTACATATTAGGCTCTTAATGTCTAATGGACTGAGTTAGAGAAATGCACTTAGATAAGGGAAAGTGATGGTTTATGGCAAAGGTGGAAGAGAATGAGAAACTGTAGAAAGCATGCACAAAAAGTCTCCAAAAGCACAATAGTCTGGGACCATTTAGAATCAATAACCTTATCCATCCCAATGGTCCCTGAGGGGTTTAATTTATCATAACACAGTATAATGGTTGTCATTTCCAATGAGAAATGTAATTCATCAATCAATATTAAGTGCTTACTATATGTCAGGCTTCATAAAGAGTATGTGGAAGATCATTTAATATGTTCAAGTAGGCAGGGAGGTGTGTCCAACATTTTAGAAATGCCTCTATACAAAACAGTTAAGATGCTTTTTTTGTGCTTAGAGGTAAAGCCTCAGCTATCTAGCAGGATATATTTCTGGAGCATTCCCAATAGATGAAGTTTTATTGGACATTTTAAAAAGCCATTTCAAGCCCCACCCCATCCTTTCTCATTGGACAAAGGCACACATTAAGAAGAATTGTGACTATTTCAGTTGCAACTGAGGAAATGTTTAAAACAAGAGTTCTTAACCTTTTCCCACGTGCCATAAATTTCTTTGGCAATCTAGGGAAGCCCA